TTTATAGATACAAGTATTTAAGCAAATGCTCTGTTTATGATAAACAGTATTAAATAACATTTACCGGCCTGAATGTCCGATTTGATTTTCATAGAAAATATTCGTTCTTTGACAGGATTCGAACCTGCATCCTATACGGAACCGTCATATACGCTGACGTGCCTTACCTCTTAGGCATAAATAAGCAGTAAATTTTACTGCTTGTCTACCGGTATGACGTATAGGATGCAGGTTTGTCCTGTCAAGAACGAATATTTTCTATGAAAATTTCTCGACATTCAGGTTCGGTAAATGTTATTTAATACTGTTTATCATAAACAGAGCATTTGCTTAAATACTTGTATCTATAAAATAACAACGTTAAACATAAAAAAAAAATGTCTTTAATAAATAAATTGTCGGACCTTGTCCATTTCTTAATATATGACGTCATTTGTTTACATTCGATACGGCAGAGCAGTTATGAATGTACGAGATTCATGGAAGATTGGAGTTTATAAGCAGTAAATTCGACCTTGTCTACCGAACGCTTCTTTGTAGCCTAGAGGTAAGGCACGTCAGCGTATATGACGGTTCCGTATAGGATGCAGGTTCGAATCCTGTCAAAGAACGAATATTTTCTATGAAAATTTCTCGGACATTCAGGCCGGTAAATGTTATTTAATACTGTTTATCATAAACAGAGCATTTGCTTAAATACTTGTATCTATAAAATAACAACGTTAAACATAAAAAAAAAATGTCTTTAATAAATAGATATCTCTATTTTTATAATTGAAAAAATTGTTTAAATATAACTAGAAGAAGAGAGACATTCTGTTGAAATATTGTTTAACATTTTCAAACACTATTTCTTTTCTTTATCTTTTCTTAAATCATGCTCTTCTCTTAACTGTGTAATAATAATAATAATGACGACGATGTTATGAATACATTTTTTTCTCTTTGATGTTTGTTGAGATGTTGAGTGTTTCCCCGTGCGTGTATTGAAATAAGGACAAACACATACGTAGGGAAAAATACTGGTATATCTGAAGAGGTATTTACAACAGAGAGATTAGTAGTCAAACGAACGCAGGTTAGTCAGTAACAATCAAAAAGAGTATAAAGTCCAACTGTATCTTCCGGTAGAGAGACGGAAGTGGGAGGTCACCTGATCTCCCAGAACTCTATAGAACTGTCCTATTAGTAGTAGAGAGATCAATCCATTCTGGTGAGAAGGTGGGTGGCCCCAGCAATGCTTTTGTCCCTTCGGGTCATAATCTCCCATCCGGAATAGAACCTGTCCTTCTATTCCGAACCTAATAATTAGTGATTATGGCTCTCAATATCATATTTCTTTTTATTTTATCTGCAAAAGGTCATTGATCTTTTATCATAGATGGTTTTAACTTGAATGGATTACCATTCAAGTTTAGAACAATTTTATTAAACCCTCTTATTTATTAAATTCAAAACCTATTATATATATATATAAAGTACAGTGTATAAATAAATAATAATATTTTTATAATTTTTAGAAATTCGATATATAAAATTTGTCCAATTTCAATGATTCATATCTCATTCAAAAATCGAAAAGTTAAGCTATAGATTCAGGGACGCCTGATTATGCAAGGTTAAATATATATTAATATATTTTACTAGCATTAAACATAGATTTCAATATCAAAGGGAGTAATTCTTATTTTCCTTTTTTATCCAAAATTGGCTGCACGTATTATTATAAACTAAACAAAAAAAAAAACGCTCTATAGGGCAAAATTTAAAAAAAACATAAATCTCTTGTTTGGCCATCATCACAATAGCTAGGGAAGTAGATGCAATAGACATCAATAAATACAGAAGAACTCAAAATTGATTTCAGCATTTAAGTACTGAATTAATGTTTAATAAATTTTAAATGTTCAACAATAATTCTTCTACTGTTACTAAATTTAAAGACGATTTGATGTACGTAGATCCTTATTTTCCGTACTAATAATTATTTTTATTTCATGGGTGACAGAACCGTGGACAATTTATAAGATAAATTAATATAGTGTAAAGACGGGAAAATAGAATTAGTTATACATTCAACATTTGAAGATTTAGAGAAACATAATAGCTAATTAAGTAAAAAATATTATGGAATCTATAAAAATAAATTTGAAAAAATAAAATATTCTCCCATTAATTATATTCTTACGAGGAGGTCAGGTTGATTTTACAAGGTCGATTTAATGTGGTGAGTCCGAGCGCATACAGAAAATTAAGGAAAAAAAAATAAAAATCTTAGCCATATTTTAACCGTTGGTTGACTGGCCTCGGTACTGAACAATCCCTTTTCTCTAGTACAATTTTTTGTTGTTCCCCAGGGTCGACACCTCTCAGTATAGTTTTCTTCCTTTGCAACTATGCCCTTCGATGGAGTCCCCCCTGAGTGCACTCTGCCCAAAGGCAGAGACGCAACAAAAATGGTGAATAATGTGTTACAAAACAATCGAGAGAGCATTTTACACGCGGTGTTTATTCATTCCCCCCACTAGGACGAGATGTGACACAAGGTCTTTTTTAAAATGGGGACCCGTGGGCATACACCCGGGCTTTAGGGCAAAAATGAAAAATTTAAAAAAATTTAATTTTCCATCGATTGTTAAACCTCACAGCGAGCACCATTCCCTCTCTCTGGTGCAATGAAAGGGTGCAACCTCAAGCAGCTGTTCCCCAGGGCTGGGCACCTCTCAGTAGAATTCTCCTCAATTGCCACTCCTTCCTTAGACGGTGTTTACTCATTCCCCCACGAGAATGAGATGTGACATAAGGTCGGTTTAATATGAGGACCTCGGGCAAGGACAAATGGGAGGGCGCTGTTCCCCAGGGCTGGGCACCGCTTCAGTATAATTTTCTTCAGTTGCCCCTCTGTCCTTTGACAGAGAAGCCCCTAAGCGCACTCTGTCCAAGAGAGATGATAAATAATGCGAAATCTCTCCTTCCTTAGACTCAAAGAGCAATATCTGTATTATATATTATCTACTTCTAGGCAATACCACTCTTCAGGTTTAACTAATTTGCATATTGATTTTAAAAACGTTTATTTCATTAATTAACCGTCCTTCATTATTGTTCTTTTATTTGAGGATTGTTTTGATTTTCATAACAAAAATAGTTCTCTTTAAGAATATCATCTTGTATAGTACAGAAAAGTGTTTGCAACAAGTTAGCATCTGTTTGTAAAACTTTCCTCAACTATAACAAGCCAATTCATAAATGAAATGTTCATTTAAAAAAATGTTTTAAAATTATTTCAAGTAGAGAATGTATCTTATTTGGGAAAATCTTTTTTGCATTTTGCCTGTTAGTTTAGAATAATTAAACCTTGTTATTTAAAATAAATTTCTGAATTAATCACAAACTAAAATAATATAAAACAAAAAACCAATTCAACAACCATATTGAATGAAATTCATTTCTTCGACATCAAAATTACATCCCTATAGCATCGGCCATAATTTACCTTTTATTTCAGTTAACCTGATGTCTATTTATAAGTATTTTATTATAGAATTGTCATCAACAACCATCCCGATGTCATCCGTTTTCAAGCAGTCTCTATTAATGATGTCACAAATGTTTACTCTTTTAATTCTTTATAAGTTTGGTCCCTTATCAATAAAAATAATTGTTTCACTTATCTCAAAAATACCTACAATCTTTTGTTAACTGCGCTTAGATGTTACCGTAAATTTTATGCGATACAGTTCCTTTCATTGATTAACATTAGACAGCTACACACAAACAATACCAACATACTAGTAAAATCAAATAGTCAAAACAGACTTTTTTATCCTTGAAAAAAAAGTTTTTAATCCTTTTAAGTGATGTCTCTAAATAAATTTAATAATTTAAAATGCCGCCTCCTCCAATGTATTTATTAACAGACACACATTTATCATGTACGTCGCCTCCATCATAAGACTCTTTGCACAAGTCACAAGACTCACCAGTTCTATGAAACTTTCATTAAAATAAATCTTTCTAAATTTACGCTGATGATGACGTATCAAAGTTGAAACATATATAACCATATTTCTTTGACATTACATTTTTCCGATATGAACTTTGATTTTTGACAATTTCTGACGGAATTTCTTCCTTGTCTTTGAAGGATTATTTGTCATTTGGAAAAGTCGATCATTAAAATTAATCAACACAAAATGTCTGTTGTCTTTAATAATATTTAACTTGAACATTTGTTGCTTAAATCCACAATGTGTGTGTGTGTGTGTAAAATACAGGCACATTTCAAATACGTGTAGAAAACTTAAATAACATACATTATTTGCTATATATATATATATATATATATATATATATATATATATATGACTGTTTATTGCAACTTATCAAATCTGGCAAACCGGGCATCTTCTGTCCTTTGTGTTCAAAATTAATCAAATATAATACCAGCCAATTTGATTCAGTTTAATATTTTGCTTAATAGGAAGAAAATGCATCAATAAAACAGTAAATATGGCTGCGACTCAAATCTATTTTTGTCTATTTCCTTATTCAATTTCATCTCCCTTCAAGATATAAAGGATCATGGTTCTCCACATCATTTTCTCTTAATTTTTTAATAAAAATATTTTTTTTAATGGTGATGATGATGGCGGCGATGATCCTGTTGTTGTTGTTAAGAGTCCATCTCTCTCTCTCTCTCTCTCTCGCCCGTTTCGATGTCCACCCCCGACCACCAATTCTTAAGTCGATCTTCGAATTCTCCTCTAAAATTTCAAAGAGAAAATTAAATATTGAATTGTTGTTGGATTCTCTATTCGACAGATTTTATATCCACGTCTCAAGCAACAGAAATTGTAATTTCCGTCTCAAAAAAACGATTCTCTCTCTCTCTCTCTCTCTCTCTCTCTCTCTCTCTCTCCTCTTTTACAACCTCTTCTTCACCTACACGAGCAACTACCCTAAATTTTAACGTCTCCAGCTTCTTGACAGTCTCAGGCTTAAAATCCCTTTTCGAACGAAGAACGAAAGATAGAATTCAAAAAAATTGTGTGTGTGTGAGACAGAAAAAAAAAAAGAAAAAGAAAAGGGAAGAGAAATAAAGAAAGAGAGAATGAAGGAAAAGAGAAAGAAAAGGAAATGAGGAAAGAAAGATCTTTATAATTAATTGAATGATCACATATTGTTGTCCGACGAAAAAATCAAGATTTTAAGAAAAAATTTTAAAAATTCACCAATAAAGATAAAATTTTATTTATTTGCATAAAATCAATTTTTTTTTGTAAGAAAGAAAAAAAACAAAATGAACATCGATCAATGCAAATGTGTGTATATATATATATATATATATATATATATATATATATATATATATATATATATATATATATATATATATATATATATATAATATTAGTGGTAAATATACACATACATATGCAAAATATATATACATACATGCATACACATACATATATATTTTTTTGAATAAAAAATTCCAAGAGGATAGAATCCAGGTAGAACTCATTCTCCAGGACAGAGTAAGGATATAATAAAAAATCTTTGACTCACCTCTCTAAAACTTTTCTCTGTTAAGTTTTAATCTCCCACCTTCTCTCGTCTGTTACCCCTCTCTTTAGCTCTAACATTCGTCCCACACTCTCATACTTACACTCTCTCTAAATTTTATTTTTTATTTCCGGAGTTGCTTTTACTGTTTTCTTTTTGAATTTGTAGGTCTGATGAATTGGATCGTATTTACGATTCTAATGGAATAAATTATGACCATGGAATATTAGTGTTTAAGCCTTTTTATTATATATATATATATATATATATATATATATATATATATCAGAAATTCTAATCCGTTGAGTCGATCAAATCTTATCGATTATATTTTTAGTTTCATTTCAAACTCCAATCATTTTCGTTTCTACATTTTCTGTCAACCATTGATGGTCGGAGAAATGTAGCAAAAAATGAAAATATCTTACAAAAATCAATCGCTTTCTTCATACTAATATTATTTTTATTTATTTATTTATTTATTTATTTTGCATATCATATTACGAAACTGATCATTTTTCTCAAATTACTTACCTGAACTCATATTGTGAAGTCACTGAAAACTTTCGCAAAAATTCAAAATATTTCTAACCCCACCAAAAAAAAAAAATTAAATTAAAAAATCGACACACACACACACACACACACACACACACAACAACAACAACAACAACAACAAATTATTTAAAATAAATTTAATTTGTAAAATTCTTGAAAAATATAAAGATTTGTAGTTCACCGAAAAATGTTTATTTTTTTAATTAATTAGGAAAATTTTGATTAAATTTTCATTACATCTTTTCCGTCATTTTGAAAACAAACAAATAACTTTTTTAGAGAAACAAAAATCTTCGGAAATTTTTCTGATTTTTTTGGAAATTTGTACAGAACTTTTTCTGGCAAAACAGAAAAAATTCCTTCCAATGTGCAAAAATAAAACTGTCCAAATCCGTTTCCACGAAAATCACGAATTTTTTCTTTAGTTTCCACCTTTTGAAGAATTTCGCCATTTTGATTAAATACAAAGATTTCCGACATTCCAAGTCTTGTCCCCCACAAATTCCCGGTCGTGGGATCGGCACGAAGGAGGGGGTCAGAAAAACGACCCGAGAGCGGTGAACCTCCAATTTGGATTGTTTTTATTTTATCTCCTTCTTTAGAAAAACAAAAAATTTCTTTCAAATCAAAATCACAAGCGAAAATTTGTTCGTCCATTTGACACAAAGAAAAAAATTGTTTTTCTTTTGTGTCGATTATTTTTTCTTTTTCTAAAAATGGTTGACTTTTTTTTCGTGCCAAAAAGAAAAGTCCTCCCACCCAGCGTGACCTCAACCACAAAGAACCACAAACAACTAAAATGTCTTCTGAAAGGCAACAAATGTCCAAAGGTGAGAATCTCACTCCTCCGTCCCTGAAGAGACATTGGCCGACGAATTCCCCAGAATCTGTGAATTCCTTGATCGAATTGTCGCGTCCATCGACAACAAAAACGTGACCATCTTCGTCGCTGCCGGTAATTGATAAAATCCACAGGTTCGAATCCTGCAGACGGCATTGACTTTGCAGTTCCAAATTCCTTGGAGGCCATGTGCCTACCGTGAAGTCGACCATTTCTTCTTGAATTTGATTTAATGATCGCTGGCACCATTCTGGAAAGGTCACCACAAAATGACCTTCCTCGACAGGAGTGAACGATTCGTGGAGGCGCGATGAAAGCTTCGCTTCCACCGACTGCAAACCACAAACAACGTCCTCGTCGTCATCGGCGCTTAACAAATGGCGCAAATCGGTGCGCCACATTCCCGCCTCCTGCAAAAGCTCTTCTTTCTCCTGGAGGGATTGGCGCCATTTACTCTGCTGTTCGGTAGTCTTTCGCCTCATGTCGTCGCACAGCTCTTCTGCCTTCACACGTGCATTTTCCATAAGCGCATCAAATTTCTGCCAAACTTTTGAGCAGTTCCATTCGCAATCGATTGACAGTTGGTCAATAGATTGTTTCGTCCGTTCAGTCATTTCACGGAGCCGCCTTTCGAAATCTTTGACATCTTCCTCCAAGTCGAAGAGGCGCTTTTTCGCTTCCAATATCTCCTTCTTCAAAGACGACGAAGCCATTTTTACATTTCTTTCAGGCAAAATGCTATCTGAAAATGGAAAGACAAGAAGAATCGTTTTAAAATTTAAAAAAAAAAAAACCATAGTTAAAAACAATAATAATTATAAACCCGAAAGTTAACCGACCCGAAATTTTCAGGTTTTAAAAGAAAAAAAAATCAATTTTCTGAAGGGAAAAAAAAGATTTTCTTCTAAAATGACAAATAAATGAAGGGGAGATGAAGAAGGGGTGATTGAAGATGGTGGCTGTTTATCATCTGTTTAGTAAAGAATTCTTTTTATTAATGACAATATTGAGTACAACTTACGTAAAAAACTGGTCCACTCATAAAAGAATGGGAATATTTTTGCGATGTGGAAAGTGTTTTTTTGAAGATTATCATTATCATTTTCAAGCCACGACGCTTGTCAGACACGAAAATTGACTTTTTACAGAAAGGCGGTCCAGTTTATAATATCAGTAAAGTCTAAAATCGATCTCTGACTTTTACACATTTAATAGACATTTTAAATGTTTATTTTATTACAAATATTTCTTTTAAAGAAAGAAACATAATACATACGTATTTGCATGAAAAATGTCGCCTGAGGAAAAGTCAATGAATTTTAATCTACAAAAATTGATTCCGACAAAAATGTTCAGTTTATTACGAATGGACCTATCTATTTAAGTAGTACCAAGAACTGAAATACGTTTTCAGAAATATTACAAACTGTCTACAATCGAAATAAAGAAGAGGGAAGAAAGCAAAGAAAACAAATTCGATGATTAAAACTAAAAGGAATGAAATAAGCAAACGACATACATAAAGTTAAGTAACATCATTCAGTTTCAATAACTTGGTTTAAAATGAAATTTTAAAAATGAAACATCATTCTTGAAGCTTTCTTTTTAGCGTTAATTGAAAGCTAAATGATTACTTTTACTATTTCCAGTAAGCAGAATACTCTCAAATTTTTGCTCACTTTAAGAATTCGTTTAAATTCAGCCATTTTGACACTTAAACAAAATTTAATTTTAATTTGATTCTCGGATTTAAAAATCTTCCAAAAATAAAATATATTTTTCTGAAACTTTATTTGAGAAATATTAGCTGACTTAAAGTTTAATTAATCATGTTTGAAAAAAATATTATTTACTTTAATTTTAAAATAACAGGGAAATGTATTTTTAAAACAAACAGTCGCGTGATTAAGTGCTTGTGAACACCTCGTAAGTCACTTGACGAGGTTCTGACACGTTTATAATTGTTCTAAGGTGACCTTAAATGTTAAAACATGATTTAAGAAAATGACGCGTGAACGCTTTTCTATATAATTTTTAAGTACACGGTAATCTTAAAAATATTCTCCGTAATCTAATTTTAGGAATGATGAATTTAAACTTACTGTAGACATCGTACTTATTTTCTGATTATGTCGTGTTGAGTCAACCATACTTTCAAACAGAGACACGTTACGTATGCATAAAAAATTAAAATCTATGTAGAATTTCAAACGATTTCAATTATTTAATATTTTAAAAAATGAAAACAATTCTTGTAAAAATTAAATGTTCATCGAAAAAAAATCTTCTTAAGACAATAGTGTCCTTAAGAAATCTTATTTATAAAACCAATTAAAAGCATTTCTAATTAAATGTCAGTTTTATTGCATTTATTATTTTACAATTCAGAGTAGATTTTCCATGAATGGGTTAACTGGATGTACCTCCAAAAATTCGGTATACCTAAGGTTTCATAAATGAAAAATCCTTCTTGAAGACCCCTCACCCCAGCTTCAATTAAAAGCTAAAGGATTAAGTTTTCTAATTCCAGAAAGCAAAATACAATGGTGTATTTCAAACAGAAATTATAATGAGTTTCAGTCGATTCTTAAGAAAACCTATCGAAACGGCTATTTTTAATTTTTTTGACAGAAATGTAAACAAAACTTAATTCTCGGTTTCAAAAATCTCGCAAAAATAAAATATACATTTCTGAAACGTTACTTTCGTAAAATTAGCAAATTTAAAGTTAAATTAATCTGCTTGAAACAAATATTACTTCCTTATAGCTTAAAATTTTCTAAACAACCATTTCTTGAACACAGGGTCTTGTTATTTTCACGTCTCCATCGATGATTTGATGGCCGAAAGTGTTGACATGTTTAGTATGGGAGACCAGAATTGACATAAATTTATAAATTCTAAGTAAGGAGGGTTTGTTTTTCAACAAGGTAATGTTTAAAAATTAACAAAATATTTTAAGATATTATCTGATATTTTACTTAATTGTTTTTAGGTAATTTTGAAGGTACTTCCTTTTATAAATAATTTAAAATAATATAATGGTATTTCATTATTTAATAACTAAGATAATATGATAAATAATTTTCTTAATTATTGTATTATTAACAGTTATTACATATTTAATTTGATATCTGAGATATAATAATTAATAAAATTATTATTAATTATATTAATAATTAAATTATGTCACTCTCAATTATTAAATTTTTAAACTGATAACATATATAATGACTCAATAATTCAATTTTAATTTAATAATTAAGATAATATAATTAATAAAATTATTATATTATCTGTTATCAATTTAATAACTCGGGTGAGATAATTAAATAACTATCTCACTCTCAGTTATTAAATTTTTAACTGAATGAGATAATATAAAATAAAACTTTTAAAATTTTAAAGAGATGATTTCTGAAGCCCGTTGAAACGTAGTGATGATGAAACATATAAGTGAAATGAAAGAATTACCCACAGCAGATAAAAGTTTCTATTAGGTACCTCCACAAATTTGGTATAAATTATCGATACCTAAGGTTTAAAATGAATTTTTAAAAATTCAAAAACCTTCTTGAAGATTTCATTTTAGCTTTAACTGAAAGCTAAAGGATTAGATTTACTATTTCCAGTAAGTAAAATATTCTAGTGTATTTCAAATAGAAATTATATAGATCGGAATCTCAACTTTTTGGCCGATTTAAGACAATTTTTTGTAAAAGCGGCTATTTTCTTAATTTTAAGAAATTTGTAAACAAAACAAAATTATCGGTTTCAAAATTTTTCCAAAAATAAAATATATATTTGCAACGCGTTATTTGAGTAAAATTATTAAATTTAAAGTTAAATTAATCTGACTTCAAATAAATATTACTTTCTTATAACATACAAAAGTAACATAAAAGCATTTCTTAACGACGCGTCCTGTTTTTTTATCACTTTTATTGACGTATCGATAAGTTCCGAGGTGATGAGAGCTAGTATGGATGACCAGATTTGATATAATTTTACGAAAAGTGAATGCATTTTTTTTTTCGTTTTTAACTACCTAGTAATTTTTGCAAATTAACATATTTTCAGCAATTATCTAATAGTCTAGTGATTTTTAGTTACGTTTGAAGATGCTTTATGAAAAAAAATGAAGTACGATAAAATTTTCTTAAATTTTAAAATTTAGTAATAATAATTAAAATAAAGATAAATCGGCAAGAAAATTAATACAATGATCTGGAATTTTTTTAAATAATAATTAAAATATTGTTTAATCATTAATAGCTAATATACTTTAATAAAAATTAGATAAAAAAGATTTCTTCCATCCAAGCACGTGACCTTTTCTTAATAATGATATATTTAGGCTATCATAGATGAAAAAGGGGAACAATAAAATTAAAAAAAAAGAAAGAATTATTTTAAAAATAGAATAGTAAATGACGTTTATTAATGTTTAAAATTCTGGATTTGTAAATTTCGTGACAATTTATATCACATACAGAGTATAAAGTAATGTGACAATATTCAACATGGCATACGGACGAAAAGGGTTAAAAAACGATTTTATTTTATTTTATTTTTTATCAGAAAGAGACTCATTTTCTCAGGGCATTGAGAACAGATGTACGAATTCTGTTGAAAAAAATACAAAATAAAATTGTTACTGTCACGCGAGACACAGCTGGCGGGTTAAAGTCGACTGTTGAAAGGTGTCAATGTCTACCTGCTGAGAAAATTATCAACCAAAATTTCCCTGAGAAAAAATTATAATTGTGACGACAGAATGAGCAATTGTGAAGGCAGAGGGAGACGTCAAGAAGACAGACGTCATATAATGGTCCCTCTCAAATGAGGGGACACCTTTCAAAATTGGAAGTGTGAAACAGAGAACGAAGGAAGGATACTGGTTGAATTTTAGGGTATTTGCCTAAAATCCCCTCATGCGCCTTTCCCCATACCAGTTCGGAATGGACACCCATAAATACAAGCGCACACGGGGGTTAAGAGAGTTGCGGCCCGGAGTTGCAGTAGTCGCGGACCGGGAGATTTTTGGCGTTACGCTGTTTTGCCAACCTAATAATAATAATAATAATAATAATCTGCTGAAGAAGAAAAACTCCGACAATATCCTTGTGCAGTCCTTGAAAGTACAATCAACAGTACTTGAAGAAATCCAGTTGTCAAGTCTGGCCATCCTTAGAGGCGTTAGCTGAAATTTTCGTTCCGTCGCCAAATATTAGAAACGGGTTGGAAAAAGAAAAAGAAAAAAAGCTGTAATTATTTTTTTTATTTTGATATAAATATCATCTAGTGACTTATTTGGGCGTCTTTTGTTTTATCTACAATTTTGTGTTCATATTCAACTCCTTGGTTTATCTTGGGTAAGATACTCCAGTGATAATTCAACTTGACCCTCTTATGATCAAAAATCACAATGTGGATAAGAGAGGTCATAGTTGAAGAGGTCAACTTAAAGAGCAGCTGCTGTGTCAAACACCCCCAACGACCGACGAGTGTGGGCTGACGGCTTGTTCTCCGATACCAGGATCGATCCTGACCAAAGACAGCAGGCCGCTGCACCGGCCACACCAAAGTAATACAGAATTTTAAACGATTTTAAAATGAATATAAATTATTATAATTAAAATTTTTAAAAATGAAAAATTCTTGTAAAAATTCATTATTCATCGAAAGAATTTTATTTCTTCAGACAATAACA